TGCATTTCAAAAAATTTGCTTTTGTCATTTTTTCACAAAACCTCAAAGTTTGATGCAAAAACGCATAATCGCACCGGCTCGCCTGGTGCATTCCAGCCTGGGTTGACTTTTGACTCATAAACTACCCAGGGGCTGTGCAAATTTCAGTACGAATCGCTAAGCAGTCCCAGTCAGGAAGGGAGAGATATTCGATGTGGCCTGCTACGATTCCCATGACTTGTCAAGAGAACGAAAGTCGCATACACCCAAATATTAGAACAGGGGATTACGTAGAAGTTAGAATTACGTTTCTGAATACGGCCATAGACGAGATCGCGTCTCCGAACTTTCGGCTTCCTGACTTAAAATATTTATGTAATGTATTATCGGGATAAAGAACACGCAAGAAATGCAGATTTGTGGCCCAGCCGCAGTGTTTTTTTTTCGTGATTTTCGTGGTGTACAGAAACAAATAAAACTCGAAAATCTACACTTTAAAACTGAGCTCTGTTAAATTCCACTGCACTGTTTCCATGCATTTCAGAGCTTTTATTGCACCCATTTAAACTCAACTGCAGAGAGAAGTGTGAAAAATCCAGTTTTCAGTGAAAAATTATTGCTTTTGCAGAGCAGTGAAGAGTCAGAGAGCGATCCCGAATTACGGGAACCGCAGGCGAAACGCCGCCGTACTACCAAAATTTATAAGCAGTTGAGCGGAGGAGACGTAGATAGTGAAACCGATGCTCACTTAAGAAGTGAGGAAGACACAATCCCGTTCGCTGAGGAGGAATACGAAAGCATTGAAACTGAAGTAATGTCGGACCCCAGGTTTGTGTCTCATATCATTCGCATCACTGAACGAAATCCTTTAGGATGATGAAGATTGTTCGATCAGCTTTTGACGAAATTTAACACTCATTTTTTGCACTGACAAATCAAAGTAGCACTACGACTAGCTGGTGTGCGTATAAATTTGTTGCTTCAAATCATTCAGCTTTTTATTTCTGCTCCATTCAAATTACGGGCGTGCGGTTACAGAAGCTGCACTGTAAGTCTTCTCCTTGAATAAGAACTACCAGTGCAAATCATCGGTGGCCCCAATCCTAAATTCATGCTCATGTGATGACTTCTAAACGAAAATCAATCCTGCTGTAGTGAGCAATCAGTTTTAATCGAGTTTTGGATTCCGGATTTTTCCCTGACACATTCGCCTTGCCTACCTTCTTTGCATATAATGACAAAAAGAGCGTTTAAAGTTCCAGGAAAGAAGTATGCGAAGATGGTGCGCACACAGAAAGCCATGAATCGATTTTATCCTCATCGGTGGCAGCAGCTGGGACAAAAAGTGACACCGAACAACATCCGGATATTGGTTATTCATCCGGTGAAAACTCCAATTCCGTCCACGAAAATATCACCGACACTGAGTGAGCATTTGTGCATGCCTAAGTTGGGAAGCTGAGCACTGCCGAGTTCCCACACCCCTCTCAAGTGCACTGCTTCCTGGTGTTTTGAAAAGAGCTGCTCTTTTGAGCCG